TTTTGTACTTGTAAATATATCAAAACTTAATGTTTGATTAGTAATATGCATTGCTAAGAACTTCATTTGAACAACTTTAAAACTTTAAAGCTCAATATTTAGATTTTTTTGCACCCTCAGATTCCAGATTTTCAAATATTGTCCTCTCCTAACAAACCATACATCAATGGAGAGCTCATTTATTCAGATGATGTATAAATCTCAATTTCAGACAAATTGACCCAGATGACTGGTTTTGTGCTCCAGGGTCACATATAAATAACATTTTACTAACTTACTTACTATCGGGCCGCAGGAGGAGTCCTGCTACATCTTTGTGGGAGTGACGCAGGAGGCCGAGCGCGAGGAGTTCTACGACGAGACGCGGCGTCTGTGTGACCTGCGGCTCTTTCACCCCATCCTCAAAGTCATCGAGCCGCTGGGGAACAGAGAGGAGAAGATCCTCAACCGGGAGATCGGTCAGTGTGTGTCGTGATTAGCCAATCAACAAGCAAAGACAGTCTAATGAATAAATCGAACAGAAGTTAATATCAGTGTTGGGGAAAGTTACTTTTAAAGTAATGCATTACAATATTGCATTACTCCCTAAAAAAAGTAACTTATGTTACTTTGTTACTTCTTATGGAAAGTAATGCATACTTTTGCGTTACTTTTTCAAATCTGGACTGGGCTTGTTTGTTTGTTTTTAATATGAAAATGTTATATTTTTGGCAAATATAAAAGCCCCTTAACACCAAAAGTGAAATGAATAAGCCTCAGGCTGAAGTAAAGAAAGCTCAACACTTTTTGATCAGCAATAAAAAAAAACAAGACAATTATTTGTTGAATTGGATCAAGGTCAGTTGCTATAGCTATCACTATCTGATGCGTTACTGTAGCTGATGGCTGCATGGTTACAATTTTATCTCTAATAGTATCGATCTTAGAAGTAAAGTCATTACTGCTGTGCTGTTGGGAAATGTCAACACTTGTTGATGCTTTATTTTTCGTTTAAAACAAACACTTAACAAAATTTGGGTAATATTTTCAGAAAACAAGACAAAATATCTTAAGTCATTTTACTTTCAAGTAAATGCTTCCTGATTCAAGAATCTTTAGATATTTATACTAGAAAACAAGACAAAAATACTAAGGAAGAAAAGATTTTTTGCAGTGTGATGAAACGTTCCAGCCTGATTTCTCTCTCTCTCTGTGTGTGTGTGTGTGTGTGTGAGTGTGTGTGTGCAGGTGTTGAGTGTGTGTGTTCGGGGACAGCATGGCTCCTCGGCCATCCTCAGGAGAGTTATGGGGGCTTCACCTGATGCCTCCTCGGATCCTGGTGGACTGCTGTCTTCCGAACGGGATCCTGGTGAGTCTGGAGTGTCTGAGAGAAGCTCCTCTGACCAGCATCAAGCAGCAGCTCTTCAGCGAGGCCCGCAAATACCCGCTCTACCACCTGCTGCAGGTACACACACCTTACTTCATCATACTGTTCTAGTTTATTTCAGGATTGATTTTACTATTATTTTATTGACGTGTGACCCTGGGGCACAAAAGCAGTGTTAAGTCGCTGGGGGATATTTGTAGCAATAGCCAACAATACATTGTATG